GACCGCCGGGAGAGGGGCGGCAGGGTCCGCAGCGGGGCGCGGTGTCGCCGGGGGCGGCTTTGGGGCGCTCCGTGAGGGGAAGGGGCATGGCGGCGTGTGGGGAGGAGAGGGGTTCCCAAGGGCAGGGCTGAAGTCGCCTCAGCTCGGTGGACCCAGCCCTTGGCAGCTGCCCCGCGGGCTCGTCTGAAGATCAATAAAAACAACCCCAAAAGCATAATTTTCCTGCTCTTATCCAACAAGGCGTGGTGCCCCTCATGCCAATAAAGTAGCTGTCTAAAAGCAACTTCGCAGCAGCGATGAGCTCCAGCAGGTCTGTGGTGAGGGCTGGCTCGTTTGGCCCAAACCCAGTTGTTTTGCACCGTTCCCGGGCAGGTGCCCGGTTCTGGCACCGGCATGCAGAGTACCCGAGGCAGCCGGGTGAGCCTGAGGTTCAGGGAGTGTCGAAGGAGGGTCGGTAAGAACCGAGGGCGCTTGACGCATGCGGCCAGGATGAGTTGCTTCGTAGTCTGTTCAGCTTTTGTTTCAGTTTGTTCTTGCGTCTTCAAGCAGATTTCAGTTTCACAGTAGCGCTGAAAGTGTTTACAATGTAGTAAACGTGAATATTAATGTTTGGATTAAATTCTGAGAACTGTGCCCTGAAAGGCGTAAGGGAGCAGCACCACACGGTTGCTGTCTGTGTCTTTGCACCACTTTTCTGTAAGGTGCTGCTTTTGACACCTCTGGGTACAAAGGTTCAATAAAATGCTTTCAGACAGGGATTTTTGACTCTTGAACATGTTGATCTTTCTAATTTGGCTGTAGTTCTGCCTACTTCTGGACAAAGATCTTTAAAAATCATACGTTTTATTTGCTTAATAGAGACTTTTGATCAGAAAAGCCACAAATTTCTGAATATCCCACCTCAGCTTAGCCAGCAGTGGTGATTTGGGGCTGCTGTGCTGGGTGTGGGTGGTTGAGGTGAAAGCGGGGAGCTCTTCTTGCATCTGACCGGTTGGGGGAAGAAGCTGATCTGAAAGCAGATGGGATAAGGGACACTATAAGCCTATCCCATGTGGGAAATGAAACTGGATGTTGGCTTGAGAAAGGGAGATAGAACTGCATTGAATGAAGGTGGATCAGGAATGTGTGACTGCGGGGAATGGTGGAGTAAGGGTTTGGGCTCGAGACCATGATTTGGTAGGGGATGGAGGTGTGGGTGAAGGTTGGCATTAGGAAGGGCTTGAGAGAAGAGTAGGGCAAACTTGCTGAGACATCTCTGTTTTCTGCTTTCAGTAGAAGCTTACTGCAAAAGTGCTAGTCTGTATAACGGAGAAGAGAATGTAAAAGCATGCACAAGTAATAAAACTCTAAGAAATACTAAATTTAAATCTGTGTGAACAATCTTCTGTAAGTCTTTGGATATGCAGCCCAAAGATTTATAGTAACTCCATCAGGTAGTTTTAAGAAAAATACAAATAAGCTTGGTGTGTGGACTTCGCAAAGATCACGGAAAGACTCAGGGCAGAGAAACGCGGTAAATCTTGACTAATACAAAGAGAATTGAAGCTTTGTCCTGAGGGATCTATGTGCAACACACATCAAGATGTGGGAGCTCTCAGGTAGACATAGTGTTATTTGAATGTAGCCTTCAGTCTTATTGGAAGCCTGGAAACCTTTTAACTAGTCTCTAAAAGCTCCCATATAAAGAGCAATGTAGTCATTTTCTGATGTAGTTGTTTCAACATGTAATGTAAGAAGAATCAGGCAGAATTTTGTCAACATTTTGTCCTTTGCTTTGCGAAAAGGTGAGCTGTGTTTTGCCCCCTCTCCCTCCCCCCCGCCCCATCTCCCAGCCTCAGTGCTTGTAATTAACTAAAATATGTAGCTGAAATGGTAGCATTTAAGTGGCATTTTGCGGATAGTTCAGCCATGTACGTGTGGGATGGTCGTGCCACAGTGCTGATCCTAACCGTTCAGGTAGGAAAACGGAAGGGACAAACACTAGAAAAGATGTTTCTTTAAATATGTTCCCCCTTTTCTCTTCCTCCTCCCCATATTCTGCACATAATGTGGTGTGCCTAGGTAAGTAACGTGTGGATCCCATGGGGAAAAAACCCTTGATTTTTATTTAAAGCTGTTATTAGAGCTGTCACTCTTGCAGTCATTATGTTGTGTTACCAATTCTACAACATTATTATGGATGGGGGGGGTTTTTGGGATAAAAAAAATTGATAAAAATACTTACCAGAAAGCAGACTGATCTCATGTGTTTCTTTCTCTTGTGCTGTAAACTATAATTACGAAGAAAGGCCTTAATATAGGTAAGAGTGGTTCCATTTCAGTGATTCAATTCTATAGGGAGAATTCCCTTCTGGATTTTGTCATTGGCAGGTGCTGGATTGCTTCCCATCTTCTAAATATCTGTGTGGTCAGGAGACAAGGGTTACTGGGTGCTGGATGACTTTCCTTATGTGTTGTGTTTCATTAGCTGAACAGCAGTCACTCTAAACAGTGTGCTTTTCACAGGCAGCGTAATGTTACCAAGCTGAGGAGCATCCTTTTACGTATGAAAGCCTACGTATCTGAAAGCCCACGTATCTGAAAGCCCACTCTTAAAAACTGGGAATAATGGTGTGATTCTATAGGGGTGTGGGAAGGATATTCTGCTTTAAACCTCCCCACCCCAAATTTTTTTCATGAATGAAATGACATGGCAACCTTGTGCTATAGGAGCTATAAAATGTTGGGGGAAAAAACCTAAACAGAGCTATAAAAGCACTTCTTGGATTATTTGCAGTACTACCTTGTTCAACCTCTCATTTGTTATGCCTTGTAACACAGTAGTTAATGGTTAGTAATAGTATAATCTGCTTTTATTTTTTTAATTTGGCATGGTTAATTTTTAAACTTATTTCCAGTAACAACAGGACATTTATTCTAGAGCAAGCTGGTGGTTTGATACTTGTTCTACAACAGGATTTGAGCTAGGTTTTCCATTATGTTAACTCCCAGTAGCTCAGTGCTTGCTAACTATCAGCACCGAGGAATCAGTGGAAAACTTTCCTTATCTCAACTAATTATTCTGTCCACAGAACAAGATCCTGAATAACTGCAGTGAAGCTGCCCAAGACAGGTTGGGAACAGGGAAACTAAGTGGTAGGAGGAAGCGGATTTGTTTTCAGTAGCAAGAGGAGATGAGTGTGGTAAGCAGGGTTGAAAGTATGTCCATGTGTTCTTTTGTTCATGTAGTGTTTGTCTACACAGGTTTTCTGCCAAATAAAATGTAATAAGAGAGATGAACCCCCATGTTTCTTGTGGTTAATTCAATGAATCGGTAACATTAGAATAGATTGTAGGAAACGAGCGTGAATAAGCTTTACAGTCAGCAGCCATTTGCTATAATGATTAATACAGTGATTATTCCTACAACTTCAGCAACACCTCTTTCCACCTCCCAAGTTCATAACCTTAGAATACATCTCTGCTGTGGAAAGTGACTGTTGTTGCTGTTGTTGTTACTATTTTTTTAAAAGCAAACCAAAAAACCCAAACAACCCAAACCCACCAAAGCTTGGGTTTAGGAGGGATTTTTCTTCGACTAAAATACAGTCAGCTTAAAAAAAGACAAATAATACTCACTGCCAGTCCCACAGACTCAAGCTGAGCTCTGATAGTCAGTCTTGAGTGCTCTCTGCTCTCGTCAGAAGGGTGGAAGGTTTTGGTGCAGATCTCTTCACGGGATTCATGTCATTAAGACTCTCAAAGTAGAAATTTGAAACACGGTATGGTGTAGAGAGAACCAGGAACTGATTACTGAAGTAAGCAGGAAGTACTTTTGCTAAATTAAACGCGTGGGTAAGTTTCAGTGAGCTGAAAAATACTATTCTGGCCTTTTTCAGAATAGAACTGGCTTTAAGTCTCAGGAACTGCATTTGACTCTGCTATTTGAATTATACCATGAAATCTTTCTTGGTTGGCTAGACATTGTTGGAATACTCTTCTGTACAAACTTGAGAAATAGAAGGAAGAGCTGCTGTCAGCAGTGCTCTGAGTACTTGAGTCAGATTTTCACCAAGACTAATATTCGCTAAGACTAATCTTGAAGAACACGTACAAGTGTTAGGCAATGATACATTCTGGAAAGTGCTCTGATATTAGTGATCATTCATCCTTAAATCATGCTCTAGAATTAAATGGCTGACTTTCATCCATCTGTTGTACTTGATGATTTTGGATATATGTCTGGAAAGCTAAGCCCTTTCCCAGTACCCAGGTATATCATGGAGTGGGGATGACTGCAAACCAGGGGGAACAGGCATATAAGCAGAGGGGTAAAAGGCGTAAGATGCTATTATTTTTACTACATGTTAAAAAAGCAAGCCTGGGCAGGAACTATGAGTACTCGGGAAATTCACACGTGAGCTCACACCTTGGGAACTCTGTGTACTGTACTCTGGCCAATGCAGGAATTAACCTGCATCAGATACAAGACACGGTGGATGAACACCCATTTGGTTTGTTATGATTAGCTGTCTTTGTTCAGAGAATTTTCTTCTGTTGACAATTACTTAGGAACATTTTTGAGGTAGAACATTATTGGGAAAGGGTTGCTTAGGCTTTTGTTTGGATTTGCAATACAGTAACTGTTTCCTGTCACTTCCAAGAATTCTCTTCTCCCTTTTCCTCTGAAGCTCTTTTTTTGATGAGGTTAGTGGAAACGTTATGTGTGGATGGCTTGCAGAAATGCAATCAGATTTCTTTCATCAGGTAGATAATCAGTATTTATTCAGATTAGCCTTGGAACAAAGTTCAAGTGGCAACAGAACAGCTATGAACGATTTCACAACTGCATGTGACCAAAAAATAAAGAAGTCAGGATTTTGTAATAGCCAAAAAAATTGAGCATATTTCTTAAAAACAGTATCAGATTATACCCCTGCAGTAACTTAAATGCTTATCCTAGCATTGGCAATGTGTGAACTACTGTCTTGATTCTTTTGATAGAAAATGAACTGCGTGGCAAGGTTGTCTGGGTGACAGGAGCTTCAAGTGGAATTGGAGAAGAATTGGCTTACCAGCTATCAAAGATAGGAGCCTTGCTTGCCATCTCAGCAAGAAGAGAGGATGAGCTTGAAAGAGTGAAAAAGAAATGCCTTCGTAAGTACAACTTGCTACTTCATGCGAGCCATTCCACTCTTGCAGTGATGGAGTTGCCACAGAAATACTAACCCACATATCACAGGCATAAATTTTATGATGAAAGTAAACTTTATACGTAGCTTCACTGTACGTTTGAAGCTGGTATTTTCTTTTCGTGAGTGAGAAGCCTTTGTATAGACTTGCATTATGAGTTCCTTCATAAGCCAATGTTACCTAAAAATCTCATTATCAATTGCAAGTGGTCTCATAAGATACTAGATTAAGAAAAGGAATAAATACTGTGGGGAATGGAGGAAACAATCTGAGGGGTATCATCCTATTAAGAACCAAACCATGTAGCTGCATGCTACTAGGAAGTCTTCTTCCTTCAGGCTTGTGCATGTTACAGGCAGACTGACAACTGACTTTTCTCTTTGGAAAAGGAATGAATAGAAATGTTCAGAAAAGTTGTTCTGAGCAAGTGCAAGAAAGAGGATCTCCTGTAGATCAAGAGGAACAAATGTGAAGTGGAATGTTTAACTATTCCAGTTACCTTTCATACGCCTGCCGAGTTAGTAGTGTGGCTTCATTCCTCCTGTTTCTTTTTCCCTCCTGTTTTCTGGCTTGACAGCAAGTGGGATAGACAGATAATTCATGTTGATAAATAGAAGTTTTGAACATGATTAACATTATGTCTTTTTCAGACTATATATCCTCTGTAGCTCAGTACGCCGTATTTTATACTGAGTATATTATGACACTGACAGTTCATTCCTGGTAATGTTGAGAGAATGTCCAGAGTTTACTTGGAACGAGTGCTGGTGAATAATGAAATGTTTGTCTTGGGTTAGCACCTAAACATTTCTAAAAATCTAAAAGTTGCAGCGGGCTACTATGAAAATCTGTCAAGTAGCTTCAAAAGTGCACAACTCCTTATTTCTAGTTTCTGATGCTTCAAAAAAGCAGTCACCTAAATAGGTATCTTCAAAAGGAAGCAAGGGACATAAGGTGACAGTATGGTTAAGTGGTAATCATGGCAAAATTCCAATGCTATATGACGCAACATTTAGCAGTCAGTAAAAGTATGCAACTACATTTGTGTCTGTGGCCGTTTGTTGTCATTGCAAAACTGATAACACTAGATAAGCTGGCAGGAGCCATAATCCTGTATATCCATTTTCAGGCAACACTCGTGTGAGAGTGCAATGTGCTAAGGAATATTCAGAAGGATTATTTCAATTGATGTGAACCAAGAGTGCAGATTTATGTAAGATAATTTCTGCATCTGCCAACTTGAAGTAACCCCGTGAATGTCTTAGCTGTGGTATATACTAGCTTTAAAGTCTTATGTAGCCATGTGTTTTGCAAAGATACGCTACTGAACTTCATTTTAACTATAGGTCAGATTAGTAGGAATATTGGAAACTCTAGGAACATAGTTACTCCATATTTTCTATAGCCAGCCTTTAAGTAGTGGAAGAGAGTAATTGGGCCCCCTTCCCCTCGCATTCTTCTTTTCTCAAGGCTATATAAACCCAGCTTTCCACCCCTTTCCTTGATTATTGTGTGCGCTAGACCCCCTAACCATCTTAGTGGCCCTATGCTACACTATCTCCAGTTTATCAGTATTTGTCTTGAACTAGGGGGTCCAAAACTGGACACAGTACTCCAGATGCAGTTTTTAAATGCAGGCACTTAAAAGTCACTTCCCTCAGTCTGCTCTTGCTAGTGCAGCCCACTAGCATTTGTAATTGCCAGAGCTCATTGCTGACTTATGTTCAACTTGCTGTTGTCCTTCCATCAGGACCTCAGGTCTTGTTTGGAGAGCTGATACCTAGCCATTTAGACGTTGGCCAGCAGTACTGCGTGGCATTATTCTGTCCCAGGTGTGAAATTTTGCATTTGACTTTGTTGAGCTTAATGAGGTTTGTCAGACCATTCTTATAGCTTGTTAAGACGCCTCTGAATAGCAGTCCTCCCCTCCAGCATAGCAACTGTTCCTTTGAACTTGATATTAACTGAAAATTTGCTGAAAACCTGTGTCTTGTCCCATCATCTAAGTCATTAATGGAGATATTAAAAGATACTCATCATGGAGGGGGTTACCACTTATAACTGGCCACCAGTTAGACTTTGAATGGTTGGTTGTTATTCTTCAGGCCTGGTGATCCAGCCTGTTTTTCACTTGCATTGTAGTCCACTCATCTAGACCCCTCAAATTTCCCCAATATAGCTTCAAGGATGCTATGAATGACAACATAGAAAGCTACATAGTCAAGGTAAACAACATCCACTGCTCTCCCCTTGTTCACAGAGCCAGTCATCTCATCGCAAAAGGCAATTAATTTGGTCTGGCAGTATATGTCCATGCCAAATCTATGCTGGCTTTTCCCAGTCACCTTCTTGTCCTTAATGTACTTGGAAATTGCTTTCAGGAGGAATTGCCACGTAATTTTCCCAAGGATTTAGGTTAGGCTGTGTGACGTTTGGTTTTCTCCAATCACTGGAGAGCTATTCCACTTACCAAGTACTTCCAAAGATGAGTGACATTGGTCAGCTCTTGTAAATCTTGGATGTATATATTGCCCCGCTTATATGTGCAGTTTGTCCCTAACTTGGTCTTCCTCTGACGCTGGTAGTATTTCTTTCCCCCAGAGTCTAGCCTCAGGAGTGTGGGAGACCTGAGAGGAGATCTTGCCAGTGAAGACTAAGGCCAAGAAGGCAATGAGTACCTCATGTTTTTCCTGTGCTCTTTGTCACTTCATCACCATCCCTATTCAGCAATGAGCTCACTCTGTCTTTGGTCTTGCTTTTGTTGGTGCTGTACCTATGAAGCCCTTGTTGCCTTTCATGTTCCTCACCAGTTTCAACTCTCTGAGCGTTGGATCTTCCTATTCCATCCCTGCATGCTTGGGCAGTGGGTCCATGTGCTTCCTGGGTGGCTTGTCCCTGCTTCCACCTGCATGTTTTCTTTTTGCAATTGAGTTCAAGAGTATTCTGTAAGGTTTGAGTAGCATGGGATGGATTAAGATTGAGCTGCAACATGTAACATCAACTTGAATTTGGCTGAATTCTATGGCATAATTGGAGCTAATGGGCTTTAACATGCCAGCTGTAGATGCTATACACAGCAGCAACTTAACTAGATAATTTTCATATTAATGTCAGAAGCAAGCACGTTTACCTTGTTCAAAATTCAGAGACACCACCCTATGATACACATTCACGCATTCTACACTGCTTAAAAGCTGAAGGAGAGAGAGAGAAGGAAGGTACCATAAAAGCTATGGTAATACCTGTTGAGTCATGCATATGCCAACTCAACACTTTTCTGCAGAAGGGAGAGAAAACAACATGTGTAACTTACATCGTTCCTGTAAGTGGCTTCTGTATTTCCCCAAACCGCTCTCTGCAGCATGAGTTGAATTTCACTAGTAATTTTGGAGGCTGTTTTCTCTCAAAAGGCTTAAAAAAAAAAAAAAAAAAAAAAAAAAAAAAAAAAGGTAGATGGGGGCGTGTTTCTTGGTTTGACAAAGCTCAAATATGATTTAAATATAGATAGGCCAAATGAATGACAGACAATCTATAAATTATAGAATTAGACAGTAATTGAGGTTGGAATGGACCTCAGGAGGTCATCTTGTTCAGCCTCTGCTAAAAGCTCATGTTCTGTTAAAGGGCATTATACAAGATAGAAATAAAAGATGGAAGAGGAAGTGCTGAAGAGCTGGGAAATAAAGGGTCTATGCTGAGTAATAGCGTTTATTGTGTTACGAGAAACTGCTATCTGGGATTAACATGTATTGGAAAGAGTTGTTGATCTGAGATCCCCTAGGGGACCCTAGGGGAAGGAGGGGTACACTTGCTGTCGTAACAAAGTATTATTCTAAATCAGCATTACTTACGCAGCTGTCTTTCAAAAAAACAAGTTGGCTTTGGGTGATTGTAACCATGATTTAGTTAAAAAGTAACTAGAACTTAATGAACCTCAAGAGGGAAGAGGCAGTCCATGATTGCTTGATAGGAAAATGTCAGTCAGAAGACCTGTTGCTTGGTGGTTGGGCAGTTTGATCCTGACGAGAAGCCATGTAGTGTAAAGCTGCTATGTAAGGAGACACTAAAAGGCTTCCAGAAAATACACACAGCTGTGTGAAAGTGGCCTTTGTTCTGGGTAGACTGAGCTTTGAGCGCGTGGTTTCAGATATGTTGCATCCAAATGCTGGTGGCCATGTGCAATTCACTTTGCAGCTGGAGACTTCACTAGAGGATGTTGACTAATGTATGTTAGCAGTTGTGTAAAACGATGAACTCTAAACTGAGGTCTCCCACTCGGGAGCAAGTGTTTTTCTGGGTTATCATAATTGTTCCCTTTAAAAACATCAGTTTGGTAGCAGGTAAAAAAGGAGGTGGAATATTAGGGGTTATTAGTAAAAGGAATGGAGAACATCATTCCAACAATGTATAAACTGGGACATGTACATGCCTTCAACATGTGCACAGTTCTAGTCATCTGCCAGAAAAAACAAGGGGATGGGTGGATGGTAGAAGAAGTTTTAGAAAAAGCGTAACAAGGATGTTTGAAGTTTTGTAAAAGTTGTCTGAGGAGTGACTAGACAAGGATTCCTCACCCTAGAAAAGAAGTAAGGGGGCTGATGGAGATGTATGGTCTGAGTGCTTTGGGGGGTGGAAATCAGACTGGACTACTGATTGCACCAAAAGAACTAGGCCTCTAGTTTGATATTTCCTGAAGTCAAGTTTCTTACATCATATAAAAGAGCACTTCCTTCCGTATCAGCAGTATGTGTCTCTTCCTCTGCTTTTTTCTTTTCCCCTGTGTAGCTTTCTTGGCTGGGTTGACCATGTGGTCTTGTTAATCCACGGCAGAAACATCCCACATCCCAGTAGGCTTCAACTGCGCAAATCTGCTTGAGGGAGCATGAGGTAGAGCGTGTCTCCGAGAGGGTAGTTTAAACTATGGATTTTACTGCTGTCTTTCTGGAAGAAATGGAGGGGAAAATGCACGTGGAGGGGTTGGAGGGAGCAATAAATGGAAATACTGGTAGCTTTAAACCAGACAGATGGGTTTATTATAACCAGTAGCCTAAATAGTAGTGACCTTTGAACAGAGGCAACTTACGGATTTAAGTAACCTCCTTATTTGTACATCACTGTAAAGACAGAGTTCAACCTTACCTGTATATGCAAGAAATAGTAATTAAAAAGTCAGAGCCTTCGGCTCTCTAAAGAGGGCAGCTGCTTAAAGGGGAGCAGGTACACTTAGTTGTGGCTACAAATCAATTTAGAAAGAAAAATAGCACTATCAAACTAGTATAAATAAAGTTAAAAAATCATGTTATGTGTAGTTAAAAAAACCTGAAGATTAACATTGATGACTTTATTTTTGTGAGTCCTCTGCCCCAAAACCCCAGGATAGCAAATCACTGCTCAAGAAATACTTTCTATGGAAAAGGTCAGTTGTTCTGAAGAGACAGTGGTAGAAACACTCAGCATGAAGGCTTGAACTTGATGACAGCTGACTTTTATTTCAGGAGACAGATATATTAAAAGCTGTCAGTTAAACAAAAACCTTCTACCTCCTCCAATAATCCCCCAATAATCTAGCTTCTCTAGACTTTGCCTCATAGCTACTCATGTATATATGTTGTGTTTTGAGTCTAAATTGTATTAGTCCTATTGTCAGGAATAAACATGCTTGACCAGTTAACGTGCAAGCAAAGTGTCAAGGCTGCCAGTACGCTGTGCTTCTGAATGGCTCAGTGAAAAATTTTGGTATCAAATAATCCTGTTGCATGTTACTGCCAACTACTGCAATTTATTTGGAGAAGTGAATTGTCTATATTGTGCTACACAAGCCTATTTAATAAAGTCAAGCTGTTCACAAGCAAAAACGCAATGATGAGATAAGAAAGACGTTGTTATGTTGTTATGGTTGTTTTTAGAGATCAGCAGCTTGAGTGAAAAAGATATCCTTGTTCTGCGTCTTGACTTGACTGATAGAAGCTCTCATGAAGCTGCTACCAACAGTGTTCTTAAGCATTTTGGCAAGGTAAGGTGTGCTTCTGGGGTTAAACTTCTTTTTCTTCTCTGTCTCCTATACCTGCATTTATGTTCATATTTCACTTTTATTCTGTTGTATGGTAAATTCAGCAGTGTCTACATCTTTCTTAAGTTTCAGTATTAAACTTGCCAAAAAGTACCTGAACTTCCATCCCTTCTGTTGCTTGCTTCTGGGCTTCAGCAGGCTTTACAGAGATGCAGCAATGAACAAATAATCACTGGTTATTACCAAGACCTAAAAATTCACTTGATTGATGTCATTGAATTTCTGGACCAACTGGAACAATCCTCAGCTGTACATTTAGGGCTTAAAATTGTGTATGAAATTCAGAACCTTCATTCGGTAGTTTCAGTAATGCATATAATTTGGGTTCAGAGCCATATAGGACAAAACTGGACACCAGGCACAATTGTTTTCCTTGTTTTGTGCATAGTTTTCTAGATTGCTAGTCCAGAGTACGTCGCTAAAACAATAGCAGTCAGATCTAACTGACGTTAAGCGCAATGTGCAAAGCTTCACGCTAGGCCTTCAGTCCATATTTGATATTTTGGTTGCACAGTGAAATTATTGGTACTAGGTTTGTTTCTTCTGTTCTTTACTCTAGTTGGTTTCTATTTTTGCATAAAACATATTTTCAGAGGTCACCTTGCAGGACCTGAGCGTTAAGTGTTAGTTGCTACAGTGCAGTAGGGTTAAAAAAACGTTGTGTGGAAAACAACTTTCCAGCTGCCAGTGTTCCTGTACTAGGAGTTAACTTTGGCATCAAACACTGTATTCCTGTTTTGTTGACTCAGGTCAAAATTAGCCAGCCTTCAATTCCAAGGGGAAGTCTAGCGGGGGAGAGCAACTGCTGAAACTTCTTCAGCAGCTGATACATCTTACTTGTGTATGGCAGAGACGACACTAGAGAGAGGAGAATAGTCACTTAACAATTGCTTGAGGAAGCGCAAGTATTAAAGGAAATGTGTTATATTAATATATCATTGTATCTTTCCTGAGATTGATGTTTTGGTCAACAACGGTGGACGTTCCCAACGCTCTCTGTTCGTGGATACAAACCTGGATGTCTACAGTGCCATAATGGAACTCAACTACCTAGGTACAATCTCTTTAACAAAACACGTCCTGAATCACATGATCCAAAGGAAAAAAGGAAAGGTTGTTACTGTGAGCAGTGTGATGGGTATCATGGGAGCTCCTCTTGCCTCCGGGTACTGTGCCAGCAAGCATGCTCTGCAGGTAAGTTAAATTTCTGAGATTAATTAAGTCTTGTTGTGTAATAGACCAGCATCAGTTAGTGCTGTAGCAGAGGACTTTATTCTGTGCGGAAAACGCAAGTCTCCCCTGAAGTTGCACACAGCGTATGTAGCCTTCTCAGGTTTTGAAAGTCCTTTAAAATCAATTTGCTCTGAAACGCACAATATCTCAGCTTCCAGTGTCGATTTATCTTCCTGACTAAAATTCAAATGCCATCTTAGTTGGGCCTAACCACTACGTAGTTAAATTCCAATGTGAAACACAAGACCTTAGCCTCTGGCCTTCGGATGAAGGAATACCTAAATCAGAGGATTATTCTGTTGCATACAGAAGCCCTAATGTTCTCATCTTAATTCAGTTGGGGAGGAAAAGTCACTGGTGAGAGTTTTAAGACTACAGGAAATCTTTAGGACAGTAAAGTGAGAACAATGAGCGGTAAAGCGGACTACTCGGAGAAATGAGAATTCCTGATCTACCTGGGAACATCCGAACAAATCTTCCCAGCAGTTCTGAATCTTGCTGTGGTGTGAAGACCTGGTGGCTCATAGTGTCTTAGGAAGTTATTTTCTGCATAACACTTCACTCTTCAATATTGCTTGGAAAGAGTTTTTGAAAGTAGTCTCACTTGCGTAGAAAAACATAAAAGAAGAGCTCAGAAAAGTATCTGGGGAAAAAAGACTGCCTGTATCATTGAGGAATCATTTGTTTAACTAGTAAATTTATTTAGACATATTTGTCTTTCACCACTGTTTGACTTCTTGCTAACGTACATTTTGATCTCAGTAAAATAAACTTCAGCTGTGCTCAGTGATGACTTAAAAAAACTGGCACCTTCTTACTCCCTGCTGGATTTAAGCACATAAACAGGGTAAATAACTTTTGCTTAAGCTATTAGATCAGTATCTTTCTGACAATTTGACTAACAACAACAAAAATGTAACAAGTGGCTGACACTGCAAAGCCACTGGACACTTGAAAGAACGAAGATGTAGAAGACAGCCATGGATCTCTGCTAATAAAAAGTTATCAGTTAGTGACGGGGAGAGATCTGCTGCTCTTCATTTGAGTGGCAGCGATGAAATTGCCAGCTTTTCGTTTAAGTATAGTAGATTTAAATTAGAAGAATGCAATGAGCAGAAGCATGAATTCCCTTTATGCTCCTTTACTTACTAAGTGTTCTTTCAGTTGAATTATCTTTTGGGTGTGGTGTAGCCCGTCTAAGCATGGCTAATTAGTTGCAGAGCACAAGGAATTCACGTGTTGCTTTAAAAATTCTCAGAACTCTGAATCTCATGCTAAGACTGAGAACATGGAAGAAGCTTTAAAGAGATAGTTTACTAAAATTTCTGGATTAATTAAAAATAAGCTAACTGAACTGCTTATATCGTTGTTGGCTTCTACCTCTGCTCAATAACCAGGCCAGACTCCAAACCTCCTTTCTTGTTTCTTTCACAGTAATTCTGCAAATACTAATTGCAGGTGTTAAAACATGTGATTTGCAATACAGATTTTGAAGAGACTCGGTCTGAGAGTCTCTTGTCAGTCTGGAGTTATGGCTAGATGTGGGCATGAAACCCCGAAAAACGAGAAAAGCTTTTTTTAAATATCAAACTTTACCAGTACAGTTCAGGTAAAGGAAGTCTGTAGGAATGGCAGGTAGCCCATCTCTGATGATGACCAAGAAGAAATGGCTAGAGAGAGGGTAGGGGAAAAATAAGGTGAAGCATAAAGTGATGCTTTTCCTGTTGTGTTTTCCCAGCATGTATCGACCTGTATTCTAAGATCTTCTTGAAACAAAGATTGCATTTTGGCCACCAGTTATTAAATATGTGTGCCTGTCTGACTTGAATGCATGTATTACGGTGTTTTTTGTGGTGGGGTTTTTTTTTTTTTTTTTTTTTTTTTTGTGTTTCACAGATTTTGCATTTTGCACCAGTTATTAAATATGTGTGCCTGTCTGACTTGAATGCATGTATTACGGTGTTTTTTGTGGTTTTTTTTTTTTTTAATTCATGTCTTGGAGTCTACCACAGCTGACACAGTTAATGCTGCAATCTTAATTATGCCTTTTTTTGAAAAAGTCCCTCCTCCTTTTGTTCTGTTTGTGTTGTTGGGTTTTTTTTATAAATTTCTTTTAAATGGCAGTTGGAGGAGGAAGGAAGGAATTCTGTTAAGAATTAATTTGTTCTTGAAATTTTTTTTTTTTTAATTCATGTCTTGGAGTCTACCACAGCTGACACAGTTAATGCTGCAATCTTAATTATGCCTTTTTTTGAAAAAGTCCCTCCTCCTTTTGTTCTGTTTGTGTTGTTGGGTTTTTTTTATAAATTTCTTTTAAATGGCAGTTGGAGGAGGAAGGAAGGAATTCTGTTAAGAATTAATTTGTTCTTGAAACAATCGCTCCTTGATTCATGCCAACTAGAATTCTTGATAACAATGTTCTACTGATGAAATTACCCTTTACTTCAGTTCTGGGAGTGCTGTAAGAGCATGAGTCAAGTCCATGGGAGTCTGCATCTGACTGATGTGGTTTCTCTCCTAGTGCGATGATGCTCATGGAGATCACGTGCCATTCATCTAGTTATAATTCATGTAATAGGTGGCATGCGGAGTGGAGCGGAAATGGTGGCCTTCAAAATGTTCCTTAATCAGGAACTTGTCTAATACTAAAGCACATGGACTGCACTGAGAGCAACTGCTACTCTCTTTGTTCAGTCTCTGGTCATTAGGGGAATTTCTAGATGTTTCTGTGGTAGTAGGAGTCAGTTCAGCCTTGCCGTCTTCAGCATCTTCTAGGATTTGGTCGCTAAGCTGGAAAGGCCCAGAGATGGCTTAAAGCAGTTCCTGTTCCACGCACCCTGTTTCTGTATGTCAGAGCTGGCTTCAGTCTGGGCTTGGTGGAAACACTCAGATTCTTCCCCTTGCACTTCAGTTGCTTTACTGCTGCCAAATCTGGGTCTGCTCCTGCCTGAATGTAAAGAAGAGAGCGCTTTCTTTTCTTAGGAATTTTAAGCTTCTCTTCTGGGAGGACGTGCAGGAATTTCATACCACTTACCTTTGGATATCGTAAGATAAGTGCTGGAATTGGAGAACCTGTGTATACTGTAGATAGAGCCTCCAGAGGGGACTGAGTATGTAAGATTCTGGTCTTCAAGAGGCTCTGTTCAGCCCGTGTCAGCCAGGATTTCAGCTGCGCAAGTGTCCTGGCCATCCTGTGTTGCTGGTGAAGACCGCGCCTCTTCCATGGTGTAAAAACTTGGAACTGTTGCCCTCGGAAGGAGGGGGCACACAAACCCCTTGAGGTGGAGGGGGATAGCAGAATGGCCACAGAGCAGAAACAGGAACTCGCTGTGATCTCCATCACAGGCCATGCAACCCTTTAATGAAATAGCACTGACTTTGACAGTGCTACTCAAACAGCACTCTGAAAAAAGCCTCAGCAGCCCTGTGGTTGGCTACTGTGTAGGCAGGATCTCCAAAAATAACATAAGCTCACTGGACCAATGCTCAGCTTTTGGTATCTTGCAACTTGCTCAGGTCAGCAAGGCTCCCTTTGTAATACCTGGTGAGAAGCAGCAGTCTGAGAATGGAGCGTGCCAGAGCCAGTGCCCTCTGCAGGAAGGTGTCTGAAGTTGCCTACGGAGCTGCCTACTGTTGCGTGCCTTCATGTGGCTACTCAGGACTGCGGGCAGGTGCCCATTTTTAGGTGGAATTTGTATCCCAGAAGCCTCCCAGCATTTAAGCTGGTGTAGGTGCTTTGTCACAAGTGATCGAGCAATGCTTCTGGCTTCCTTTCTATCACAGCATCCCCAGGCATGCACCCTTCTACCTCCTCGACTCCTGGAAGTACATCTTGAGTTTGTCTCCTTCAGGCAAAATGGGAGTCAGTTCTGTTCCTCACCAAATCACCAGGGAGTGATAAGGGAGCGTGGGCTGGGAGAGCTCTCGCTTAGTCCTGCTCGTGCAGGTCAGTGTTGATGGAATAACTAACGACTGCCCAAAGGAGGGAAGATAGCTGCGTAGGCTGCTGTTCAGGTTGTGTTTCTACGAGAGCCTGGACTTCCAGGCATTGCTGGGTGAACAGGATGCAAAGACCTCCTGTGAACAAGGAGCAGTACCACGTCATCCCCTCACCCAAGTGGCCATGCTCATGACACACGCCGCCACCTTCTCCCCCTTGGGATCTAGTGTCTTTTTACTTGTTACTTTTTCCCCAGCTGGACTGACAGCACAGAATTTGTGACAGGACTGCACAACTTGGGGGTTAAGGGGCTTTTCCGAGATAAGCGGGTGTAGGACCCCTTGGGGAAAGGAGGGGATGTGGAAAGTACAGGTCTGGGCTGTAGCATTAGCCTAGAGTGGTGGATAAAGCACAGCTGTATTGGGGCCACCTCTGAAGGTGTGCACCAGGGGCGGAGGAGGCTCCTCTCAGGGCAGGAGGTAATCTAGGAGAGGGCCTGGGTTTTTAATCCAAAACAACTGGGTGGTTTGCAGATCCGAGATGCTTCCCCAATGTGTCCAGAAGCAGACTTCTGGGCATATAAGTGTCTTTATGTTAGAACCTACTCCTCTAGAAGCTACACATCTCCAGGCTTTGATAACATGCTGTGAAGATCTGATACTAGTTATGGGGCCTGCAGGTACTTATAACTTGAAATAGATGGTCAGTGTTTTTACAGAACATAACTGCAAAGCCTGTATGCAAAGCCTGTATGCAATCTATAAGCTGGAATTAGTCACCAGCAATTTGGAAGTGAGAGCCCATGTTCTTGGTCATAGGTGTGCACTGGTGTGCAACTCATTGCTTAGCTTTGGTGGATTGCCCCAGTTGACGACTTCTGTGTCATCACAGGAGCATATCTGACTGACTTTAGCCCTGTGTTGCAATGTAGTTCAGAGCTCTGGGTCAGCCAGCCCTCTTCCCGAGCTGGATGGGAGTGCAAATTATAAATTTTTACTACAGTGGGAGAAGTTTATCAGTCTGTGCTCACTCTGTCCCTGTTGTGACACAAAATTATGTGTTAGAATAAATACAGAGAACTGTTGTTAACCAGGTCAAAGATAAAACATGATGTGGTGCTTGCTAAATCATAGCTCTACAGTGCTTGACCAGCAACTTTGGTAGGAAGCACCTTCCTGAATGATCATGTTCCCCATAATAGTCGCTATCTAAATGTGAGTTGCTACAGAGTTTAAAAAAACTTGTATCCTGTTAGCTTAAAGAAAAGAAATATTTGCAGCTTTTGTAATTACAGTTTAACTTAGACACACTAGTAGCATATTCCTGAGCTGAAATAAGGTTTATATCTATGTAGATGCAAATTTCAAATTCTGCGGTGAATTCAGTGGTGCAGAATTACCCCCTAAAATATCAGGATGCACCTTTGACTTAATATGCTGAAAAGTTTTCCTCCTTCTCTTATATAAAACCAATGCCACTTACTCAATAGAAACAATTTAAAACCTTTAATCTCGCCACGAAGAGCAATTCACCTGCAAAAGATGATTTCCACGATGTTGCAGTTCTTACGGTTGGTGGCAGTTCCACTACCAAAACAGTGAGGCTCGTCCTCAGTACAGAGACAGCAGAACCTGGCTGTAGTTTAGAGAAATTATTGTGTAGTTGGGAAGTCAAGGATAGATTCCTCACTGATTTATATATCAATGTCTGTAATTGCAGATAAAATTTTAAATTAGCCATTGAACATGAGGAGTCAAACAAAGTAGTAGGAATTGCTTTTAGTGGAATACCGTTATCTTTACAGCATAGAATTAGTATGAAAATATGTAGTCAGTTAAACCTTGCTACAAGCGGAAATACGGCGAAGGAAGATTACATTATAATCTTTTCTTCTAGGGTTTTTTTAATTCTCTTCGGACTGAGCTGACTGACTACCCTGAGATAAGTATTATCAACATATGCCCAGGGCCTGTACAGTCTAAGATTATACAAAACGTCTTTACGGAGAACCTTGCAAAGGTAAGGACTCAATTCTGTTGTGATAAATCCAGCTTTTGCTGCAGGCCCAGGGATCCTTTTGTGGTTTTTCTTTTTCTCCTCCTAGCAAACACTAACCTCATCTTCTTACCAAGAAATGCTTTGATTGGTGCAGAACTATGTATAGTCTTGTAATTGTTTGGTGTAAAGTCCGTATCAAATGAAAATAAAGTTTGAGAATTGTTAATGCCTTCTCTCTTCCATCACATACAATCCAAGTCTAGTTAAATCTACTCTACAGCCGCCCTGCTGCACTTTTTGGGGAAAGGCCAGGATTTTCGGGACACAATTCTGTGTGCAGGATACTGTCCTTTCTGCACAGGTAGCTTTTTGTTTGCCCTAGGCACCATGTCCCCTGTTCGGTTGACGCTGTTGTTGGCAAAGCCACTAGAGTCAGCTGATGCGAGGCATGCATTCTTTTCCTGTTAGTGATTGTTCAAGGAGGAAAAAACAAAACCTTCCAACTGCACAATTGCTTTTAATAAAGGCTGTCTAACGAAGTAGCTGGCAAAAATTGTTATGATACGTCAAAATGTAATCTGTCCTAAATTCAATCGATTTAAAGCTCAGGAAAACCCACCAGCGAGGGGGGGGGGGAATCTCCCATTGTTGAATCAAGTTCTGAAAGGACTTTTGGCTTGCAGTACTTCATAATTCCGTGAAAGAAAAGATGAGCTTTTTGAGCAATCTGGAAAGCTTGCAAAGCACATTCCTCAAATTTCAGCATGGCAAAAGACCTAGGAGGAAGACTGAACCTAGACCAGAATTGCTTTTGCTCTGGGAACCAGAAGAACAGATCGATCGAGCAGTCTGTTACTGCTGGAGTGAAATGCATATAAATTCACAGGGCTGTGGCTTACGTTCACTGAGTGATAACGTGTGGCCAAGACTTCAAGTAAGACATCCCTGCCACTAAAGAAGCCTGTTGCTTTTCTCTTGTTTGAGGTGGCTGCCCACAGAGCAGGGCTGGCAGGAATATTTCAGTTAATGGGGAATGTGGCCTCATCTACTAACTTGGTTACTGGTTAACTTGTAGCATATAATGGGGTAGGCAGCTGGGAACAGGAAAGTTCCCATTTCTCAGAGCCCTCAGCTGCAGAACAGGTGACTTGTTCTGATAGATCCGTTTCATGATAAAGTAGAAGCCATGCTGAAGCAGGACAGAGTTTGGAGATCTATTTTTTTTTTTTTTTTAACCACCTTCGACCCATCAGTCGAGGCGTTAATTAAAAGGGTGCTTTATTTAAGCATGTGTGCTAAAGGAAGGTGGTAAGTGTTCCCACACTGAAAACTAGAGGATTAGGATAGCGAGGGATGGGTTCCCCAGCCCTGGTCTCTGCTGTACTGGCTGGGTTATTCTCCTTGTGCGCAGTGGAGAAACGGGGAGGAGTATGTCTGTTGCACAGAGCCTGGCCCTTTCTCTCCCACAAACAGAAGTCCAGTTACAACCCCCCCTCGCCCTCTCTCTCTCCCCTCCAGTCCATAGAGAACAGCGGTGATCAGTCCCACAAGATGCCAACCAACCGCTGCGTCCGGCTCACCCTGGTGAGCGCAGCCAACGACCTGAAGGAGGCTTGGATCAGTGACCACCCCTATCTGGCCGTTTGCTACCTCTGGCAGTATGCACCCACTTGGGCTTGGTGGTTGATGAACAGAATGGGCAAGAGGAGGATACAGAACTTCAAGAGCGGAGTGGTAAGTTTATTCCTCTCTCCTCTGCTTGCTTGCTTCCTTTTTTTACTCTGCTGCCAGACTCCTTAGCCATGGGAATGTTGGGATTGCATTTTTGGATCCGTTTTCCTTTTTCCCCTCCTCCCTTCCCTAGCAGCTGATGCCAGGCCAGACTCCGTCGCTGCACGCCTGGTAGTCTAGAATTACTGCGGTGTGGTGACATCACAGAATGGGGACGTCAGTACGTCTTGTAGTGCCAGAGGTCGAGGTCTTGCTCTGATCTTCATCACACGGGCTGCAACTTCAGAACTCAGCATTAATGCAAACCTGAGCTATAAGTCACTAGTGTAAATTATTAATGCAGCTTGGGATTAAGACTGTTGAAAATCTCTCCCTCTGCTGTGCCTGGTTTTTATATCGGGCACGTAATCTGAGCACCTCCCAGAATTACGTTAAGCAATACTACCGTCTGTCAGGGCTCTTCACTCACATTCGCTTCCCAGGAGACAGCTGTGCAGCGCGGTGTTCTGTTCTTGCAATACTGCTTGGTAGATGCTATTTTTCTTACTGTGGTTTTGTTGAACTTGGTACAAAAAACCCATGTTAAAGTACTCCAAAAGTGGGAAACACAAAAAGAAGGGTGGCACGTGCAACTTAAAACTTCCTACTTCCACACTGTAACTGCCCACTGTCACAAGCTGTTTCAAGCAAAATAACACTGTGGGTGAAGGACTTAAATAAGGGGGGGGGAAATACTGATTTAATGTACTCTCACTCCAGGATGCTGACGCCTCTTACTCAAGGAAGAAGAAGTAAGGACAAACATGTACAAAATCCTGCTTGTGCTAAGGCTGAGAAACTCTTCATACTGCGTGACTGCAAACAAAAGCTTTTTTTATCTGTTGTACCTTTGTCATCATGTAACTTGACAAGTCTATCAAGCTGTATACACATTTGACTAAATAAAAAACTCTTTCTAAACATACCTGTTTCATGCCAAACTCCTACAGGCTGAATTTTTAAGCTTACAAGAACTGAGATGGAAGAGGCCAGGCACTATTATTTTGCTTTTCTGCTGTTGTGACCTTGGCAAATACTTGGTGAGCAGGCTAAAAATTATATACCCGCAGGATCATGTTTCCCTCACTTTCATTCCTAATGGACATTGAGCAAAAAAAAAAAACCCCACAGGTAGAAGCTTGTGGTACAAAGGGTAAGGATGTACAGTCTGTGTTCCTTTGGGAAAAGGAGATTATATTTCACCTTTGCTGTACAGGTGGTCTGAGAGCAAAATGTGTATCATCCTCACGTGTATTTAGGGCCAAATCCCTTAGCTTCTGGCACAACATTTAGAAGTACTTAATCTTTACGTCTCTCAGCACCATGGCAGAGTCCTCAGTCTTCTGGTGGTTGTGTGAAGTCTGAGGACTGGGCAGCGGGGAAGGGAGAGGGTGATGGTGTAATTGTAAGCCCTGTCGTAGGCAGTACTCAGCCTTGCTCTGAACCTGGCCCATGTTAAATCTACAGAGCACCCTGGAGAGAGGAGCAGAGGAAAGTTCCTGTAGCAGAACAGCCTCTAGCTACAAGAGGGGGCACGGTATTAATGAGAAACCCATTCGCAGCAGGTGATTGCTTACAGCCAAGACACCAGTACTGGCTCGTGTCAGAGCCAAATGAGGGCAGACATTGCATTATAGGCAATTTAAGTGTGAAATAGAAGCCGAGTTCCCAGCTCGGTCAGAAACGGGCCCTTCCATACAGAGCAGAGGCCAATCTCAGCGGTACTGGTGCTGTACTGGACAGCAACAGCCGTGAGGAACTGAGGACTGCACTTTTTAAAACGTTTACCATCCCATTGACACCCAATTCAACCGTTAGCCAGAAGTACCCCTGTGGTGGTAACTCGTCTGTACTTACAAGCTTGGTGACCTTGCTGTTGACAAAGGCCTCGGAAATATTTGGATGTACCTCAGGCCACAGACTATCCAGTTAGGAAAAATTCTTGTATCTGGGACGTTAAATAGACAGATCTCCAAAAGGCAGTGCACTAAAAACACACCAACTTTCCAACCGTAGCAGAGACCAAGCCAAGGGTGACGTTTTTAACATGACATTTAACAAAGATGGAAACTACTGTCTGGAAAAAAAGAAGACAGACTGATCAAATGACGACAAGTGTCTCGTCTCGTGCTGTTCTGGAGGAGCGGAAGGTTCATGTCACCGGCTAACGCGCCAGTTCCTGCGGCACATTTCACAAACCGCAGTTAAAGAGGCAGCAGTAAGCCTGCATGACAAATGCAGCTACTCTTAATACAACACCTGTGCAGATGATGGTCACAGGATGCTTTAGCCTCCACCCTCTTGTCCACAGAAGGCTTGGCAGTATTGCACACCGTGCAGATGATGGTCACCCATCCTCCAGTTAGCCTCCACCCTCTAGTCCACAGAAGGCTTGGCAGTATTGCACACAGCGGAAGGCTCGCTCTCCCATTTATATACAGGTTTCCTTGCTTTTTCTCTACCAAAAAAAGCGTAAGCCTTTGTGCTCAAAGAGGAGTTCACTTCTCTTGCTTGAGCTAAGGACAGTGGCTGCTGGACACGCAAACACAGACCCACCTTCACGGACTGTGCGATTGCTACCACCAGCACACAAAGGAACAGCATGGAAGGAGCGACAGTAGAGATGACAGGGACCTTGGTGTCTTACGCTTACTTTTGTGTGATGAACATTGCAATCTGTAAAGCCGAGTAGGTGTTGATAAGAATTACAGTAAAGCTGATGCACACGGCTGGTTAGAAAACAGAGCAGTTCGCGGTGGTCCCACGGGGAAGTGGGGGGGGCTGTCATAAGCTCAGTCCTAGATATTGTCCAGTCGCAGTATTCCATCGGTGATCCGAATAGCGGCATATATTGTATGCTTACAAGAGCTGCAGACAAGGCCAGGCTTCAAGGTGCTCTAAATTCCTGACAAATCAAAGAAATGCTCCAAAACAAACAGGACACAGTTCAAGAGCGCGCAAACAAAACAGCACACTTCACAGGGGCACTCAGCTGCACAGATTCGCGATGCAGAACAAGAGGCTGTTACTAGTGGTTCTGCCAAAAACAGAATCTAAAGAGGGTTACAGAAAAATCGTAACATGAATCGGGGTCATACTGTTGCAAAACATACTGGAACGTGTGAACTGGCTCCGTACCTTAACGAATAAGGGGCTGTAGGACACGCTGCCTGCGAGAGCAGGGACAGGATGTTACAGTGCGTTAGAGCCCGACTCCACATTCCTACGCGCAAAGAGGAATTCTGCACATCGCTAATTCGGTTCCTCCATCTGGTACCAATCGAGATCTCTGCTGGAGCGCCAGGGCCAGTTACCAGCAACACTTTTCAAGAAGGCTGGGTACCAGACGGAGAGAACCAGGGGAAAGCAGGAGAAAAAGATCACAGCTCTCTTCAGTTTTTTCTCAACTAGTTTATTCGCTTTGCAGAAGACAAAGAACGAGGGCAGAAATTATAACCATCTTCAAATGAAAGACTGCTGCTGCAAAAAAAAGGTAATTAAGTTTTCTGTGACCTTACAGAAGACAAGCAGTAAGAGGCTTACAATAAGGCAGGGAGGTTTAACTAGATTTAGGGAAAAAAACCCCAAACTTTCCAACTGCTGTAAGAACAGCAAAGAACTGGAGCAAACCACTTGACAAGTTCATGATACTCCTGGTATTGAAAGTTTTAAATCAGATTAAACATTTGCCAGGAGTAGTTCCTTTCGAGAGGGAGCTGAAATAGGTGCTCTCTCAAAGCCCCTTCCAGATCAGTTTCCATGACTCTCTGTCGCCAGATACAGCCCACGGCCAGGCAAGGTGATTTTAGGTTATCAGCACTTTGTTATTTACGCTCCCGCACACCAAACAATCCCCGTTTAAAAGCTGCTTCCATTAACGTTCTGTGTGAACTTCATCCTGTACGTTGAAGTCTTATACCATGGAGTTTGACAGGCGTTTCCTTACCACCTCCGAATTCCACTACAAGGTTTGCATATTTTTTGAAAATCATTTATGGTCACCGATCAAAAGAAACAGCTAATAGCCAAGTACACAGTCCACAGTCCTGTGACAAATTTTATCTGATACAAAAAGGTCTTAAAGGTGACGAGTAAAAGTAATAAACGCGCTCCAAATTATACAACCCTGAGTATTCTAAACCAGTACTAATTCAGTTACAGAGACCTGATTTAAATTAATTCTACAGGTTAAAGGAAGACAACTACCTACACCCTGCTCGGCATATGCCAGCAGTAACGACACCGTAACTACTCATCTACAGAGAAAACACATTTATGTGCTAATGACTGGTGGTAACGAACAGCATAAACAAGCCACTGGAGAGCTGACCCAGACCTGTTTTCAAGGAGACCTGTAATATTACAAACTAATTGCCAAATTCTGTTCTAACCTCTGCTAAGGCTAAAAAAAAAAAAAAAAAAAATTAATTCTGGCACAGCCAGCCGGATTCCCTCCCCCCCATCACCATCAAGCTCTCACTGTGTTTGTGGAAGACCGGTCAGGGATGCGGGCATAGGTTGCAAAAACAACACGTATTTCTATGTATAAAATACAAGGATACTGGAGGAAGGAAATAAAATTAATCCATTTGGACTTAAATTCCTTCTCTCCCCTAATTACACACGTTTACTTTCATCGGTAGGTCACGCGGGTTATTAATGTGTCAGAACGCACACTGTTTTATAGACATTCTCTTTGCCCCCAAATCAAGTACTTTGGTAAAAATTGTCCCTTACAACTTACTTTGTTAAAGCATAGCTGATAACTTACTACAACTAAGGAAGATCAGCTAAAGTCATATATTATAACAAATGCTAAAACTGAACTCAAGTCCAATATAAAATGGCCAGAATAAGAAAAAAAAAAAAAGTCATATAAATAGTCGTATGTACACTTTGGTTACCAACTCTGCGGTTGACGGTACTACAGTGAGCTGTAACCTGACCGTCAGTGCAAGTCACCTGTCCAACTATTAAAAAGAAAAAACAAATATAAAAAAAAAAATCAGAATGCACCAAAAATAGTTAATGATCAGAATTATGCTGCTCTTCTCTAAACTGGAGAAGAGAATTTCAGCATCTCCCGGCTCACCAGCCACACTGGCAATGGTGTCTCACACGTTCCAGCAGCAAGAAAACGGTTCAAAACTCCCTGCCTGCTGAAGGCCCTGGCTAGCACCATTTCTGTGCCAATGACGTACGCTGGCTTGGCACTGCCATCCAACGCCATTTTGAGAGTAAAATCTTACTTGTAGTGCATACATGTGGCATGAACGTTTGATTCCCAACATGCAGATGGAAAATACAAAATAATAATAATAACAACAACAACAACAAAAAGTGCTACAGACATTCTAGAACAGAGGCAGATGCAGAAGTTCTGATGAATAAATGGGGTAGCCAAGAGGCGGGTCCGCAGCTTGCACAGTAAGGTTTCGCAGAAGAACGGGGTGTGCCTGGATGCTGTAACGTTCTTCATCATCATTTGTAGCATACAGCAGCTCCCAGGACAGATTTGCCCACTGACCTCGGACAGCTTCGTCATTAAGTTTTCCCACTTGTACTAACAGTTCCTGAAGAGTGAGGACTCGCCCAGTGTAAATTCCCTTTAAGAACAAACAGATCAAAGTGTTCAGTACGTTCTCCGAGAAGATACACAAGCATTTAGGTTACAAAGCACTAAATGAAGCTTTGGGGCTACATACTATGAATATCGTCCCTTTAAAAATGACAAAGTGTATAAACTAGTCTCCTTGGTTCAGTTCTTCCATCTAGGAAGATAGCCAGGAAATATTGCTGCATCTGAAGAACAACGCGGTGTGATTTTCAACAACAGCGATGTTGGCTCCTGTCTAGTACAAACATAAACTTTGGTTGCACAGCCTTCATGTTTTGGAACACAAAAAGAAAAAAAAGCAGT